ACTGGGATTATTGGGGGTGGGGGAGGGTGGAGGAGGAGGACGACGTGATAACAAGCTAAAAGAAAGGGAGGAAATGGTTCACAATTTCAAGGTATTGAACTCAATATTAAGTCCAAAGTGCCTAGTCTGAAGATGAGATGTTGTTCCTCCAATTTGCGCTATGATTCATTGGACACTGCAGCATGCCAAAGACAGACGTGTGGGCGGACAAGCAAGATGCTGTGTTAAAACACCCAGCTACTGGAAGGTCAGGGTCCTGCTTGTTCACAGACTGGAGGTGTTCTGCAAAGCGGGCACCCAGTCTGCCTTTGGTTTCTCCAATGTACAGTAGGCCACATTGGGTGCAGCGAATACAATACACAAGATTGGAGGAGGTACGGGTGAAATGCTACTTCACCTGGAAAGGCTGTTTAGGCCCTTGAATGGTGAGCAAGGAGGTGGTGAAGGGGCAGATGTTGCACCTTCTGCGGTTCCCTAAAGAATCATATGTTTCAATAAGGTCTCCTCTCATTCTTCTAAACTCTGTTGAGTACCAGCTCAACCTGCTCAACTTCTCCTCAAAAGAAAATCACTCTATACCAGGTATCACTCTATACCCAACCTAGTGATCCTTCCCTGGACTGCCTCCAATGCTAGTAACACGGCCTCTGCTTTTCTTGATACATATTAATGATGGGTGTGCAGGACATATCTTTAAAATTTGTAAGATGACAAAGAAGTGATGACACTTCAGTGACGTGGTTAGAGTGGAGCTGCTGGAGTTGCTCTCCTTCAACAGAGGGACCAGCACAGATTTGTTAGAAATGTTTAAAACCATGAGAAAATCCATCGAGAATAGATAGAGGGAAATTGATCCCACAGGCGAAGATGGTTGAGAAGTAGAGGACACTGATTTAAAAAATGGCTAAAGAACCAACATAGCATAAGGGTAAACCTGTTTACATAGAAGGTGTTCTGAGGAAGGGTCACCAGACCCAAAACATTAACTCTGTTTTTTCCTTCACAGATGCTGCCAGATCTGCTGTGCTTTTCCAGCAACTTTATTTTTGTTACATGGAAGGTGGTTAGAATCTGGAGTCCACTTGCAGAGTTTGTGGTGCAGGCAGATTCAATCATGGCACTCTAAAGAGAATTGGATAAGCACCCGATGAGAAAACAATGACAGGGCTACAAGGATAGGATAGGGGATTGAGACTAGGTGAGTTGCCTTTGCAGAGAACTGGAAAAGAAATACCATATGTGCTTTAACAATGCTTTAACAAGAACGCACCCGGAAGGAATTCAACTAACAGCTGTTGTGTGTATATCTACAGTAAATGAAATTTAAAGTTGCATAAGAATGTAAAACAATTCCTGTATTGTATGTAAAATGTAAATATAACATACATCTTGAAGAATTTGGAATTAATACATTAGCTAATTATACAACTGTTTCAAGTTGTTGTCTATCAAAGCAACCAATGCACAACGCGCATCAAGGATATTGTCTACTTCAGGACCTTGATTAGGAGAGGGTGGTGGGAGGGTAGTGTGAGGGAAGAGGGTCAGGGAGAGACAGAGAGAGAGAGAAAGGGGGAGGAGACAAGGAAAGACAAAGAAAGAGGAAAAAGAGAAAGAGGGAGAGAAAGGGGTTAGGGATGTCGAGGAAGAGGAGGGTGATGAAGTGATGGGGAAGGGTGAGGGGGGCAGGAACAGAAGAAGAGAGAAGGAAGGAGAGATGAAAGGAGGGAGGGAGTGGCAGGTTAAGACAGAAATGGGATCGGGGACAGGGAGAGAGACAGAGGAGGAAAGAAAGAGAGGGACAGGGGAGGAGCTTTGGGAGATGTGAGGGATTTATGAAAAGAGAAAACGAGGGGGAGAATAAGAGAGGAAGACAGGGAAAGGGAGGGAGCAAAGAAAGGATGGAGGGAGCGAGGGAGGGAAGGTGAGAGAGGATGGGCAAGTATAGGAGAGGGGGAGGAAGGTGGGAGGGGGAGGAAGGTGGGAGAAATGGAGAAAGGCAGAGAGAGAAGGAGGGGAGGGGGCGAGCAACAGGGAATGGGAGGGAGAGGAAGGGAGAGTGATAGGGAGAGAAAGAGTGATAAGGACGGGGACAGGAAGGGAAGAGCCGGGGGTAGTGGGACAGGAAGAGGCAGAAGGAGGTTGGAGAAAGTGGCAGCAGGCGGAAGGTCAAGAGAGTGAGGCTGGGAGGTAGGTGGCAGTGAAGAGAGGGGAAAGCGGGGAGGGATTGAAGACAGGAAGGTAGGAGTAGGACAGAGGGTGAGGGTGAGCGAGGCAGGAGGGACGTAGAGGAGGGAAAGGGTGAGCAGAAGTGGGCATGTAGAGAAGTGCAGGAAAGAAAGTCTGAGATGGGACAAAGTGATAAGCAAAGGGCAGAATACTAATCTCCCTGAAAAAGCATGAGGTGTATGAATATGTGAATTCAACAACTTTAATAGAAAATAGTACATGGTATGGGAAGATCTCACAGCTACTAATAAAAACCTAGTTGGCCATCACTTTTTGTTTAAAAACCTATTTGCTCTGATCAATTTTGCTAATTTAAATCAGTTCTATGATGCACCACAATGGGATAATCAAATATGTAACATACCATCGTATTTATTTTCACAGGTACAGCACAACAACGTTTAAATCATTAATTTAGAACACACTGCACTTGTTTATAATCAAAACAAGGCGATATAAACAATAGCTCTGTCTCGCAAAAAGTTTTTTTTTTCATTTGTTTCATCCTGAGAAGCACTAAACAGATAGTTTGCTCTCTGTTGCAGAAGTAAAACTTGAGCACTTTGCCTCTTGGCCTTTAATCTATGTCTCAGTTACGCTTTCTCCACAACCCCTGCTTTCAAATCTCCAGAATAACAAATATAATGAAGCAATATTTGAATCAGTGTAGGTTAATAGCTACAGAAACTGACGATCTGGCTTGTGAATAGAATTAAACGTTTTCGGATTATATTGAATAAATGTTAATTTTTACTTTCCTGAGGATAAATATGACAGATGGTGATCCACCCCAATTTAAGTTGATAAATCTGAAAACAGTGTATTGTAACCTCACAGAGGAGTTCAAAAGCAAAATAATCTTTCCATGTTGTATGCTGACATATAAAATTTACGTATCAAAATTGTGCACAAATGCGATACTTGCATTCTCCCATACTTTAATTTTACAAACCAATATATATCTACATCTGTTTCTATGAGAAAAATTAATCCCTGCTTTCAGTCGAAAGCTTTTAGTCTGCAACATGCACTATTTTGTTGTTCAAATCTGTGGATTAACAAGGCAGCATGGGACCTCCTGAAACATTGTTCAAAACTGGAAAAATTATTTAACAAAGAGATCCATTTAAAGCACAAAGCGGCATTAAACCTCAGGCATGCACATGCCCAGAACAGTTTTGTTGGGATTATATGCAAATATCTAATTACAATTGGAAGATGAAACCAAGAAAAGAAAAGCAACTCTTCAAACTTACGAGCTTCAATCTTTGCAAAGGAATTCGGGTGACATCCACTGGACTACGGTCCATCACATTCACAAATCTTGCTTCTGGAATTGCTACTGCACACATCACATGAGCCCACCTGAACAACACAAGTGACAACCTGAATAATGTGATGAACCACAAAGGAATACTGATAATAATGTCTAGTTTTACTTCTGCTCTGCCGGTCTCCCTGCTTTGAATCTGGTACCAATGTAATTTTTAAGAGTGTCAACCTTTTCAATGTAAAGGCACTGCATTTGTTTGGATTTCAGACATAAATTGGTTGCAGATCAAATCATAGATCATAGAATCCCTAGAGTGTGGAAACAGGCCCTTCAGCCCAACAAGTCCACACCTGTGAAGACCCTCAGAGCATCCCACCCAGACCCATCCCCCTGTAACCCATCTAATCTACACATCCCTGAACACTATGGGCAACTTAGCATGGCCAATTCACCTAACCTGCACATCTTTGGACTGTGAGATGAAACCGGAGGACCCGGAGAAACCCACGCAGACACAGGGAGAATGCGCAAACTCCACACAGACAGTCACCCCAGGGTGGAATCGAACCCGGGTTGCTGGCGCTGTGAGACAGCAGTGTTAACCACTGAGCCACCGTGCTGCCCCAAAGTAATTTTTAGAGTGTCAACCTTTTCAACGTAAAGGCATTGCATTTTGTTTGGATTTCAGACAAAGTTGGTTGTAGAATACAGTGAAATCTCTGTTCCCCCCTCATTTTTCAATTTGTCTTAAGTCCAAGTCTAAGCACATACAGAAAAGGCTGAAGGTCAACAATCAATTATTGGCTTCATTATACAGAGGATAATTCACTATTGAAGGTGAATTATGACAGTTATTTCACTTATTTAAGCAAGACTCATAATTCATGAATGTCACAGGTTAGAGAAATTTATGATGATCTTTTAACTAATAAAAGAACCAATTATTACCAGTTAATCTGTTTATTCTATGGAAACAGCACGACTGGTTAAATCATGCTTTGAAACAGGTTTTGGAACACCAACTCTGGAGAAGAATGCTGACCAATATTTCCAATCATCACAATGTTCCCCTACCCCATACAAGTGTGCACCGCTTTACTCCTTTACTCAACAGATTCTATCATACTATGCAGGAGTAAATGAGAGAAGCAGACACATCAGGAATGAGAACACACAAATTACTGAAAATAACTCCAGAGAACAGATTTAAGTTGTACCATGGCAACAAGCAGTTTCTCTAAATTATCACAATTCTCTAAATTAACAACACATAGCAATTTTCTCCCCACTACAGATCAGAGACATTTTACCCTTTCTTGGGATCAATACAGAACAGTACCCCACCTTATGCCACAACATTCCACAGCCTCTCAGCTAACAAGATTTTCCTTTCTCTCTTTCCACACGGTACTATGAACATAGTCTTGACAATAAACAACATAAATCTTTCTTTATTTTTTAATTCATACTCTATTAACATATTTATAAGAGCCAAACTCCTATTCGTTTCTCTTGCTTACCAGCATTCTCAAATTCATGAACTGTGTAATTAACCTTCTAGGTAGCTCTATTCATCCACACTAAGACATGGCTTCCTAGGAAATGTATATGCCACCTTTATGCCCATTCAATCTCTATTTTTATAGAAAGGTGTTTGTTTCTTTGTTGGTTAATTTGTTTGTTCCTTTCCAGAAAAGAGAAACACACAATAAATGAATATGCTCTGATTAAGAGTCATCTAAACTTGAAATGTTAGTTTTTTTTCTCTCCATGGATGCAGCCTGACCCGCTGTGACTTCTAGCAATTTTTGTTTTTAGAACAGACTCCAGCATCTGCAGTAATTTGCTCTTACAAATGAATGTAAAATGAACTGCCATGCACTGAACATGTTAACTAAATAGAATACACAGCATACAGTTTATGATCTACTCAAACCTCCTTGTTTGCTTACTTAGTTTCCATTTAAATGCATTTATATTATTTGCCTCAACTACTCACTGTGATAGCTTGTTTCACATTTTCACCACCCTGGCTGGAGTTCTCTTTTTCTTCCGTATCCTGTTTGAATTTTTTGGTGAATGGTTTATAGTGGAGGCCTCTAATTTGACTTTCACATAAACAGAAAAACTCATTCTCTGCTTACTCAATCAAAAGCTTTCATAATTTAAACTCTAGTGGAGGTTCAGAAGAATGATCCTGGGAACGAAGGGCTTATCAAATAAAGGTGCAGTTGAGGACTCTGGATTTGTTCTTGATGGAATTTAGAAGGATAAGGGGGAATCTCATTGAAACTTACAGAATACTGAAAGGCCTGGATAGAGTAGACATGGAGTAGATGTTTCCACTAGTCGGAGAGACTAGGACCTGAGGGTAAAGCCTCAGAGTGAATGGATGACCTTTTAGAGCTGAGATAAGGAGGTATTGCTTCAGCCAGAGGTAGTAAATGTGTGGAACTCATTGCCACAGAAGGCTGTGGAGGCCACATAACTTACGACAGAGATGGATAAGTTCTTGATTCTTGATCAAAGGCTATGGGGAGAAGGCAGGAGAATGAGCTGAGAACCGTGATTGAATGGCAGAGCAGACAAATTGGCCAAAGGGGCTAACTCTGCTCCTATATCTTTTGATCTTAAATACTTCTATTAGGTCACTCCTTACACCTTCACAATTTTTTCAAGAAATTATACTACATGATTGTTACTGGTTATTGAGTCCACAGCAGGGAGCAACTAAGTAGCTTTTTGAAGTGTAACCTTACTAGTTTTCTTTTGTAAATCTACAATAGTGAGTACAGTGGAGTTTTTTTTATTGTATATTGTTATTGAGATCTTTCTCTTGACGTACTAAGATAGCCTGGACCAGTAAGACTATTGTTTTCTGGGTCTGTAGATTGTTAAGGTGCAAAGATGGGCTTCAGTAGAGTGATGTGCTCTTCCTGTTGGATGTGGGAGATTAGGGTGAGTTTCCATGTTACTGATTATTATGTCTGCAGGAAATGTGTTTGGTGCGAATGGATCGGTTGGAGCGCCAGTTAGAGGCTTTTAGGAATTTACAGGATCTGGGGGTGTGATGGATGGAGGGAGATAATCTGAAGATACAGTCAGGTAGATGGGTGACCTCCACGAAAGGTAGGAGAGAGAAGCAGGTAGTGCAGGAGTCTCCTGTGGCTATCTCCATCTCACACAAATATGCTGTTTTGGAAAATGTATGTGGTGAGGGACTCTCAGGGGAATGTAGCACTGACAGCCAGATTTCTGGTACCAAGACTGGCTCTAATTTAATGAGGGGTATGCCAGGTTCCAAGCAATCAATTGTGAAACGGCACTCTGTAGTTAGAGACACAGACAGATGATTGTGCGGCCGACAGGGAGACATGACAATGGTGTGTTGCCTCCCTGGAGCCAGTATTAAAGATATCTCGGGGAAGGTAAAGAATAATATCAAAGGGGAGCAGGACCAGCAGCAGGTTGTTGTACACATTGGAACTAATGGCATAGGAAATGAAAAGGACGAGATTCTGAGGGGAAAATATAGGAAGTTAAGCAGGAATCTAAAAAGTACGTCTTAGAGGGTAAAAATATCTGGATTACTCCCAGTGCCACGAGCTAGCGAGGGTAGGAATTGAAGAATTGAGTAGATGAACGTGTGGCTGAGGAGTTGGTGCAGGGAGAAGGATTCACATTTTTGGATCATTGGAATGTCTTCTGGGGTAGAAGTGACTTGTATCAGAAGGACGGATGGCATCTGAATTGGAAGGGGACTGATATACTAGCAGGGAGATTTGCTAGAGCTGTTCGGGAGGATTTAAACTAGTAAGGGGATGGGGTTCGACCCAGGGAGAGAGTGAGGAAAATGATCCATGTGAGACTGGTACAGTTGGGAAAAGGCGTAAGTCAAACAGATAGGGCAGGCAGGAACAAAGCAGAGAACGAGGTAGGACTGATGAATAAACTACATTTATTTCAATGCAGGAGGCCTAAACACGTAAGGCAGATGAACTCAGGGCATGGTTGGGAATATGGGACAGGGATACCACAGCAATCACAGAGATGTGGCTCAGGGATGGACAGGACTGGCAGCTTAATGTCCAGGGTATAGATGCTATAGGAAGGATAGAAAGGGGGGCAAAGGAGGAGAGGGAGTGATGTTTTTGATTAGGGATAACATTACGGATGTATTTAGGGAGGATATTCCTGGGGATACATCCAGGAAAGCTTTTTGGATGGAACTGAGAAATAAGAAAGGGATAATCACCTTATTGGGACTGTACTATAGACACCCAAATAGTCCACTGGAAATTGAGAAACAAATTTGTAAGGAGATCTGAGTCATCTGTAAGAATAATAGGGTGGTATGGTAGGGAATTTTAACTTTCCAAACATAGATTGGGATTGCCATAGTGTTAAGGGCTTGGATCGAAAGGAACTTGTTAAGTGTGCACAAGAAAATTTTCTGATTCAGTATGTGGACGTACCTAGAGAAAGTGCAAAACTTAACCTACTCTTGGGAAATAAGGCAGGACAGGTGACTGAAGTAACAGTGGACAGCAGTTTGGGACCAGTGACCATAATTCTATTGGTTTTAAAATAGTGATGGAAATGAATGGACCAGATCTAAAAGTTAAAGTCTAAATTAAAGTTAAAATGTAAATTGCAGGGATCTGTTCTGGGGCCTCTGTTCTTTTGTGATCTTTATAAATGACTTGGATGAGGAAGTGGAAGGGTGCGTTAGTAAGTTTGCCGACGACACGAAGGTTGGTGGAGTTGTGGATAGCATGGAGGACTGTTGTAGGTTGCAACGGGACATTAACAGGATGCAGAGCTGGGCAAAGAAGTGGCAGATGGCATTCAACTCAGAAAAGTATCAAGTGATTCATTTTGGAAGGTCGAATTTGAATGCAGAATACAGGGTTAATGGCAGGATTCTTGGCAGTGTGGAGGAACAGAGGGATCTTGGGGTCCACGTCCATAGATCCCTCAAAATCGCTACCCAAGTTGACAGGGTTGGAAAGAAGGCGTATGGTGTGTTGGCTTTCATTGGCAGGAGAATTGAGTCTAAGAGCCACGAGGTTATGCTGCAGCTCTATAAAAC